GAGGTCGTAGTTTGAAACCTCGGCTTGAGCCGGCCCATATGTGCAACAGCAAAGCTGCCGCCTGGCTCTACACTGTAAAGTTGTCTCAAGATCATAGTTGTTCAGTGCGATATTACAATAAAACTCTTGCGTTTTAGATCTAAGCCTTCTGACTTACGTGTAGTACGTGTAGCCATCATGATTATTTAAATTATTCAACATAAGTAAAATAATAAAAGTTTTAGACAAAAGATTGAGCTTAAAATGCCACCTAAAGAATTTGTTGGTTACTTCAGTAAAATATAAAAATAGGGTAATAATAAAAAAATATATACACATAATATTTTAAGCCTTAATGTTGTGGATATATAATGAGAGTAACACAAGGAGCGAAAAAAATTTTTTTTTCTATACCAACATAGCTGTAAATGATATAAAATAAGAACATTTTTTAAAACAAAATTTAACGCGGCGATACACTGAAATTGAATAGCTAAGCTTATAAGTAGAAGCAATAAAAAAGCCACCATATGCTACTACTTTATTTAAATTCGCAAAATACATAACCTACATACTGCTATATATTAACCTTAAATATTAATACTGCTATATATATTAACATAAATTTAATAATATTTAACTTTTCATTAGCAAATTCATAACCGCCATAAATGAAAATTGAACGATTGCAGAATGTTCGTGTTGGCTCAATTCTGAACAGGCATATTTTGAAGTAGGAGCTTTCATTACTTAAATTCTTAGACGACATAGATTTCAGAATGTGATACATTATTTATTATTTTTAGTACTTTGACAGAGACTTTTACTTTATATAAAAAGATTTTTTTAAGTTACAGCGCTGTTCCAGTTACAGTTCCTAAAACAAGACAATAGATAAATTTCGTAGATATAAGTAATGTTTACCGCAGTGACAAAACAAATGCAACCCAATACAAGAAAATAAAACCCAAAGCTTTAGATGACAATGGTGTAAATGGTTCTTAGAAAATAAATTAATATAGAACTGTCAGTGTTTACTTACAATTGCAGTGTAAAGTGCCTCCCGGCATAAAGATAATTGGAATACAAAATGCTTACAAACTACAATTTAATCAGGCGGATATTAGCAGTGGGGTAGCGTGGCCCCGGGCGGCATACGAAAGGGGGCGGCGGTAAGCGCTACGATTTATTCAATTGCAAATAAAAAAAATAACTCCGAACTGCGCCCGTAATATTACGTGCGAAGCGAAACCGCAAGGATGAAGTCAAATACTGCCAAATTTGCATCACCCGTTGCTAGCTAGCTAGGCTAGTTGGCCGGCACGCGAACGAATCAAGAAGCAACAGCGAGTACTCAATCACTCAAAACAACCACTGCTGAACATAAAGCCACCTGCATCCATGGACTTCCTGCATGTCTTACCAGGTCGTGACTTCATCTAGTACGGGGACGCCCTACACTTCGCCTGCCGGTCCGCGGCTGCCACTCGAGAACCTTTCTTACCCATCGGTTGTCGGTTATTTGAGCTGTACGGCCGGCCCAATGAAACTTTAGCTTACTAATCCGTTGAACTATGTCGGCTCTCCAATTTTTTTTTAGAGTGATCTATATATTCTCGTTTGAGAATTGTGGAAGATGTGTCGTAATCTCCCGAATGCTGTCCAGCCGAGTTGAATCCGTCGATTGACCTGTCGGTTGAAGTTGGACTTACCTTGTCGGACTATTTGTAACAGGTAACATCAACAACTTCGAGCTTAGTGCTACCAACAACAATTGGCATAGGTGTGACGTGGACGTTACACATAACCTCCTTTGTGTCCATGTTCATCTTAAGAATAATCCGTTGGGCGACATATTAAGGTCATTGAGCATAGTGATTAGGTCCTCCAGCGATTCTGCCTTAAGGACTGTATCATCGCCAAATCGAAGATGAGCGATGTGCTGGCTATTGACGTTAATACCGTATTCTTTCCAGTCCAGTAGCTTGAAAAAGTCTTTCAATCCAGCAGTGAAGAGTTTCGGGGATATTATGTTACCCTGTCTTACATCTACAATCTCTCTGCTGTTGCATCGGTTTCGTACTCTTGTTCTGTACTCGGATAGCCATCGTTGTCCTACTGTAAAAATACTTCAGCACTTAGATATACCGGCAGTCAACTCGGCAACCCTGAAGGGATTGAAGCACTGTCCAAATTTCGACGGAATTAAAAGCTTTCTCATAGCTCACATACGCAAGACAAAGTGGCAGATTGTACTCTTCGGTCTTCTTTATCATTTGCTGAAGGGTATGTATGTGGTCCATGATGCTAAAGCCATTTCGAAAATCGGCTAGTGCGGGAGGCTGGAAGTTGTTGAGTGAATATAAGGATTGATGAAATACGTAACGTAACTCGACTAGGTCCGATTCTGATTTTGTGCTGTATTCTTGCGACGTGTAGATTTTCCGCACAAGTATATTCCCGAGCTTGAACGTATTGGTAGTTTTTTCTTTTGCAACAGTTTTCGATTTGTGATTGTTTATGTAAATACGGGTGTTCCCTTAAAATCTTCCGTTGAAACAAATTAACTCTAGCGAGAAACTGCGAGATGAAGTCTTCTACTCGTATCATGTACTTGTTGACTAAAGAAAGAATAATGACAGGCTAATTCTCGTTAGGCCCAGAATCTTGCATGTGAACACGAGTTACGTAATTGATATATTTGATACATGATAAGTGATTCCAGATCCTAGTTTAATTACAATGTCAAACAAATTCTCTCCAGGTTTAAATTGAACTTCCCTAATTTTGACGTAATTTGATTGACGCCATTGATCTTTTCCATTAATGTCTGTTTCCATATTTATTATATTTTTATTTAAAGACGACTTTACTCAGCATTTTCAACTACTTGAAGTCTTTTATATTAAAAAACGTTTTTGATTATTCGAGTATTCTTGGGGAGCAATAATTAGCACGAAAATGTCTGTAACTCGATACCAAGCAATCGATAACGTTATCAAGAGTAGTTTGGCACTCTTTGTAACTGGTGACCCAGGCCGGGATAGTTGTTGAGACATCTTACAGGAAATACAGCGCTGTAATACCATAATGCGATACCCAGTTTCAGTTATCTTAGAACATGAGTAATTGTAGTACTTAAAATAGGCAAAGCACTGAATAGCGCTTGAGAATTCCTCACAACATCTACCATGACAAATGTGTTGAAGTTATTCTGAAGAAAATATTCTATAAGCTTGAGAAATACTTAATAGTAGACGGTATTTGTATTTTTTAATGTTTAAGAAAGAAATTTATACCAGTGTATGTTTAGAAATCTCAAACTGAATATAATCTTTTAAATACTCAAGTTAATATTTAAGAATATACTGAAGTAAATGGACAAGTAAATAATCAAGCATAAAGTCAAGAAAATAGTGAGGTACATAAATAAGCCATAAAATTGTCATGTGAATAATCAAGTATATAGTCGAATAAATAAATACATAGTTAAGTTACACGTCGAGTAAATAGTCAAGTATATGTTTAAGTAAATAATCAAATATATAGTCTAGTAAATTATTAAGAAAACATAAGTAGATAATTAAGTAAATAGGCAAATCTTTATTCAAATAGGCAAGTTAATAATAAAGGAAAAAGTTTAATTAATAGGCACGCAAAATAATAAGATAAATAGGCAAGTAACAAATCATGTATACTATAGTCAAGTAAATGGTGATATAAATATCAATTAATAAGCAGGAAATTAGTCGAGTAAATAATCAAGTATATTGTTAAGTAAACAGGCATAAAAATAGTCAAGTAAATTTACAAATAAGTATTCAAGTAAATCGAAAAGTAGATAATCAAGTATATAAGCAATAAAATTATATCGCAGAGTGACACCTACATCTCAACCTAAGATAACAATCCTTTTTGTATTATCTGACATGATTTTATTTATTACTACTATGGTTACCTATATAATGAATATATTTTAGTGTCTAAATAAACAAATCTGATATGTCACTTATCGTTTAGACTCTTATAAGCAAATCAGCATACACTTTTATTAACAGTATTAACTTTAACTGGTTATAGGCAGTTTTCCCTGTTTCGCAATGAACCAAAGCATTGAAAGTAAGTTTTCTGTATTAACAATAGTCGTGACTGAAATCAGAGCTTTCGAAATCTTAAGCTGTAAAAAATCTCGATTTGCAAGTTAATTTGTCCGCACAAAAAATATTGCGAACGAAAAGTTTTATTATTTGAAATAACATTGTTTTTAATTTTTTTGGCTTCAACAAGAGTTCGCTAGGTACTTTATTTTTAATTAAAAATTATACAAAAAATATTACATACTAAGACCAGTAGAAGTGAAATATCTTTACAACTCAGCTAAACAATTCTAAGCATCTAAATTAAACTCAACTATACTAAACTAACCTTTGAGCTGAAACTCATTGAAAGTGTTTGCCTTAGCGGTAAATTATAGCTATAGCAGCGAACACAATAATTATACTGGTCGCTGTAAAACTGGTCTTGTAAAACTTCATAGCTGCTCGGAAAAACATAAAACAAAATTATATCTTATATTTACACGAATATTACTTATAGAATTAAATAATTTTACAGACTTTATTGCATTGGAACTTATTCTAGCCAAGTTAAAGTTATTTCCGATATAGGAAAATAAAGATGTAAAACGCTGTTATTCTGCAAACGCCCGACTAATATATACGTACACAGTACAGCAATATCAGTACAGTACGCACGCATCCCTGCTCACACTGAGTTTAACCACAATATTTCACATTAGGGTACATACCGTGAATTTCCATGAATTAGTCAAGTTGAATACTTACTAAGTTTATAGAGCAGGAAAAAATCTATCAAAACTAAGTTTCACTGCATTACAAGCTGGACTCACAATGAATTTTGCTATACTGTACTAAAAAGTAACTAAGAATAACTAACCTTACTAAAAAAAACTTACTAATTACTTCAAAGAATCTATATATTCTTTTAATACTCGCACTTACTTCCCCGGTTGCAGACACATGTAGGCAGATTCTCCAATATGGTCGATAGGAGCGTCCGACACGTAATATATGTCGCTTAGCCTCTTCTCCGTCTCCACAGTAATCGACACGTTCTTGTTCGGTCCGGTATCACCCACGTACACCACTCTACATAGTATTTAATTATAAGTAAAGTTATTTATGAATAATTAAACATAGTAAAATTAGATGTAGGTACAGTCATGTTGCACCAAATATATGATCCAAATAGACTACAAAGAGTCGGATTCGAAACAGATTGCAAACTTGCACTTTACATAAAATATACATAATCTAATACTCTGTGGGCTATGTCGTGTACTCTAATAGTTTGTTATTACCATCATTCATCATCATCACAGTCTATCAAAGCCCACAGCGGAACAAGAGCATCTCTCATAGATTGGGTTGCCAACACCAGATTTTGATCTATAGCTCCAACCTCTGTTTACTTCTGTTGGCTCGTATAACATCCGTGGAATGATATGAGGTAATAGATTATCTTACATACCACTACATAGTGATCATCGATCAATATCAGTCATCCCCATTAACCAGCGTTTTTAAGAAATTTCGACAAATCTGACGTTTAGCGACTATCCATACTACCCACCCCAGGCAGGTAACCTGGTGAACCATTGGTCTGGTAGTACTGGTTTTCACCATCGAACCGTAGTGATTTGGACTCGGCAAGTGCGATTGCATTTAACATCAAAGTTTCATCCGTTAGTAAATGGGGTGTTATATGAAAAAATAAACTAACCACCTTATCCAAGTTGCTTTAGACCATGGCGATGGTGCCAATTGCACAAGAATCATAGAGCAAATGTCAAAATATGGTATCTGATATCAAAAATATACGCAATAGCAGGCCCCATAATCAATAAATTAGCTTTTTGTCGTAGTATTACGCAACAGGCAACAACTATTGAGACGAAGTTTGACAAACAGGTAAAGGTACAATCTGTGTGACACAACAGTTGACGGAATATTTCAGTTTAGGCAAGTCCAATATATTTCCATTTTTTTCGAAGCTTATATAACTTTATGATTTTTTATTGAAGAGGAAAGGAAGGAGCAAAGGAGCATACGGCTCACCAGATGGTAAGTATCGACCGCCGCCCATTAACAAAGGCAACACCAGAGGAATAACAGATTCGATGCAGGCCTTTTAAAAAGCTTGTTTGTTGAAGGTCCCTGAGTCGTAACAGTCCGGAAAAATTGCCGGTGATTAACGATACCAGAAAGTAGTCGTGCGAGGAAGAAAATTCCTAATAAATTGCACTGTATTGGATCGCCAAGCATCCAGATGATGTCGATGTTAAATTAGTTTTGTATAATATATAAATTAGCAATATGCGTTGGTGAAATTTGGCGGCTGAAGTAGTTCCAAACAATTTCTCAAAACATTCCCCGTGGTAAATAAATGCAAAGGGATGACACATCGCGCCGCGCTGGTGAATCAAATCGATCCGAGGGAACTCAGTCGTCGAAGATTTGAGCCGCTTTTCGCTGGATGCGGTCAAGTGGAAGGAGCTGGCACTGGGGAGTCCCGACCCATAGATGAGAAAAGTATTGCGTGTGAGGCCGAACCTGCGCCTTGTAAAGTTGTAAGCGGTATGCCGGCATGAAATACTGTCCCGCTCTGCTGAACAGGTCACGATTTTTAGAAGCCAATTTAGCCTTCACTTCCAAGTGACCACAAAACAGCTCGTCATTCGATATGTCAACGCCTCGGCGTTAAAAACGCGGCGATGAAATTCTAGAATTTCGATACTGGCTGAGGAAACAAGGGGAATGCCCTGAAACTGCCCAGCCCAGGCCCGATAGCACACCTACTTATAGCGTGATGAAATTTTACATAAGTGGCCAAACCATGGCTGGGATCTGCCTCCAAAGGCACTACAGATGATGGAATATAAAGTTCCATTCCCTAAAGTACCACATCAGCGATAAAATCAGCAACAACGTTAGGATCATCCGGCAAGAAGCAAACCCGAACCCAAGGCTAAGATGCATAAAAAACCGCAACCTGTCCATATCATCCACCCTATAGTGCCAAACATGGTGGTAGCCTGCTGAACGCATCACAGCACCGTACTCACGCGACATCAACAATCACGCGAATCAGACAATAATCCAAAGAGCCAAGAGGGCCAACGACGGAGAGCCTATATCCGTTCGGATGAGAGATCAGCAGAAGGTTCAACAGGAAACGTGCATGATCTTCTACATCTGGGTTCCGCGTAGGCGAAGTAGCCAGTTGTATTAGACCATAAGCAAAGGCAATGTTATAAACAGATCTCCCCGCATGATTGGTTGGATTGGAATGGGAACCCAAGCCATTCAACTTGATGGGCGTTAAATCACCGAGGATTACGACCTCTGTGGACGTGTACCACGTTGTAATATGAATTCTGCAGCCATTTGAAGGTTGAGTTTTCTTTAACTTACTCTCCTCTGGATAAAGAGCTAAACTTGTTTTTAGGGACGACCGATTACAAACAATTATGTATCACGAACAGTGCCGCCGGCCGAGTTCCTATAAAAACAGGTTTTCACAGGGGTAAAATATAGGAAGACGGCAGATGGAAGGAAAAATTATGCTCTCCGCAGGCTGATGAGGAAATTGTAATCACATTTATGAACTTTTCGGCGCTATGCAAATTGGACAGCCGAGATGTTATAAGCCGGACTGGCCGGATTCTGTTGCATAGATATGTCACCTCTATTTACAGATTTGAATTTGCGCATCAACAAATATATTGTGTCAGTATCGGGGGACCCGAGTTATTGTATGCGAAGCGATGCGTCCGTCCGTGTCGGCATTACCGCTATGGGACCTATAGATGCATCTCGCAACACAGGAATTGTCGTCTGGTGATAGACAAATATATATAAAATAAATAGGCCAAATCTAATATTTTTAAGTAGAAACTTTACACTTAAATTTTTCATTGCTTGCATTAGGTAATTTGAATAGACCAATGATAAAAATAAAAAAGTTTCAAACAAAACTTTTCCGGTAGGTATGTAATTTTATTTTGTTGACAAATCTATTTTTAACTTTTCAAATCTCAAATCTCTTCAAAGCTTTAACAAGGCGTGAAACGTATAAAGGTAAAGAGGTATAGAATATAGCGATAGTTAAAGATATAGGCGACCCTTTTTATGGAATTAATAGATAAGTTTCGAGATTATAGCAAAAATAACTGATTTTAAAGTGTTTTTCTTTTTGTGAATTAACGACTTGCTCAAATATTATTATTATATAGATCTGCAAGAGTTCCAAGCGGACAATGTCGCGAGTAAAAACTAGTTTATTTAGTAAAAGTATATGAATATACTTACTTTAATTTCGGTTTTCCCGTTAGCGACTTGCTTAATGGGTTTGGATCCATAAAGTACAATCTTATTTGATCATCTGAATTTTGGCCTATAATTACCGGCATAAACTGAAAATATATTAACATATTAAGAAAGACTTGTACATATAAAAGGATGATAATAATTAACCAAGGAAACTGTTTTCATCAATAACGACTACATATTATGATTTAACTTGTTAATTACTATTGGTTTTTTTTTTTTTATATATACACTGCCAAGAGCTCGCTATGAGTTACAAAGAAAGTCTTCATTCTCTGTCCGTATCGCTGCAATTCTCTCAGTTCAGTAAGTCAGAAATTTTTCCTGCATGCTTAATTTTTCAATAATAACTAATAATATTCTTCTAACACTCGTCACTTTTTGAATCGATGTGTATATATTGATTTTGTAGGAAAGAGGGTAAGGATGTCGCTAGGCGCCAGCGTGATTGTCACTAACACTCTCTCATTTTTAAGAAGATAATTGAATAATTAGTCCACTGCACTGCTCACTAAAGATCGCTAAAGATCACATGTCATCAAAAAATTTTCGAAGGTAAAACTTCTTTTGGGCACGTTGGGCACTTTTAGGATGGGCGAAAAAGCCTTGAACTCGTGTGACTGTCACGCTCAGATTCATATCATTATCATCATTACAGCCCTTCACAAGTCCACTGCTGAACATAGGCCTCCCTCAAGTAACGCCACAAAGCACGGTTCTGAGCCACCTGTATCCATCGACTTCCTACGTGTCTTACCAGGTCGGTCGTCACTCCATCTAGTAGGGGTCACCCTACACTACGCCTACTGGTACGAAGATGCCACTCGGGAACCTTTTTTCCCCATCGGTTATAGGTTCTTTGAGCTATATGGCCGGCCCATTGCCACTTCAGCTTACTAATCCGTAATCATATACTTATATATAATAATCATTCATCATTATGTAAATCAGCGCAATAAGTGAAAATTTAATTACTATATTAATACGATTATAAAATGATGTCTAATAAGAAACACTTCCTAAAAATATTTCTTAACAACGCAAAAACAATGTTAACGAGTTTGTGAAGCTAAGAAATTTTCACTTCTGACGTGCAATCCTACGACTGACAGTTTGTTTTCTCATTTCCAACGAGAACGCGGTAAATCAGCAATTTGTAAACAATTTTATTGTTACTGGCAGTTATCGAACCTGGGTTACCCGCCTGTTACATTTACCGCGCAGTGTGAAATTTACGCAAAGCGCTCCGCGCCTGAGCTATCACTTGTGATGGTATTGCACCAAAACGATTATTTTAAAATACATACCATCTCAGACACAGTATTCAGATTAGCTTTAACAACATGCTGCTTCATAATACGTCCCGCACAATGGACGGGACAGCTGGCTGAGAGTCCGAGGATACGATGAGGCAAGGGGGACGTAAGCGCTGTGCCGTGCGATTCCACCGGTGCAATGCCCTCGCCACGCACCGCTATTTCCACTGGGCATGCTAGTGTATTCATCACCACTAACCCAGTTTGCTGGTGCCCTGGTACTTGGAGAGTTGATCGCTATAATAAAAGTTTGGCTATAACAAAAGCAATAATTAATGCCGCGGCCCCACATATCAGGATACGTGAGGATATTATCGCTATGTACTCGCATGTAGCCACATCTTCGTGAATAATTCTTCACTTCGTGCCAAGACGCAAATACATCAAAGCGTTCTGTCGCGATGGACTTTGTTTGTGCGGCCATACTCCAGTCTGACCGCAGACATCGCACGTAGTGTGTGTTAAAGTAAATTGAAGTTTGTTATATATTTTCGACAATGACATTTTTTTTTTTCAAATAATGCGACGATTAATAATTTTTCGAGATATTTTAAATAAATAATGCAAGCGTCTAAAGCTGTCCCCTGTTACCAAAAACCAAGTAATTATTCTCTGCCATATAATATAGGGCGATCGCGGCGTCCATTTTGTGCTTAGCATGTGTTTATCGCGATAAAACGCGTGAGAAACTTTACAACGCGCAGTGTTGTCAGGCACGTTCGTTGTAGGCCGAAGACGCAGTTTTATCGCGACAATTCGATTGCAATATATGTAACCTAGGCATAAGAATAATATACTATAATACTAGGTGGTAGGACTTTCTTTCTGCCCAGGAATCTGTATAGCTGGTGTTACCCTGTTACTTATTTCTGCGGCCAAATAGTAGTGAGTCTCCTTCTGTGTCCAGGTCTGAAGTAAATAGAGAGCCAATATTGTTACAGGCTGAGAAGCATTTGAGCAAGCCATATTGGTGCTCAGGTGTGACAACGCATCTGTAGCCTTCTTTATTTGAAGGTGCTTTCAAGCGTTCCTAGGCTGCAGTAACAACTTACCATCAGATGCACTGTAAGTTCAAAAACTTCTTCTCTCTAATTTTACAATGCTCTGAAAAGCATAAATTTAATAACTTTAGCTACAGAAATCTCTTTCAACTGAACCATTTACACCTTCTTTATAACGCAACAGCCACAATACCGCATGGAATTCTGATGGAAGTTGTAAAGTAATTAATATTTTCTTAACTCACATATACGAATACATCCATCTCGTGCTAATTGAACGTGAGTTTACCATTAAAATGTTTGAAATAAATGTTAGTAAACAAACAGTTAGTTGTGCTGGATGTTCCTTCTGCACGTATGTATTTACTCTGTGACTCTGGCTAGTTTGCCTTTTGGTGACAATCCATACTAATATTATAAATGCGAAAGTGTGTTTGTTTGTTTTTCTGTTTGTCCTTCTTTCACGTCGAAACAGAGCGTTGGCATGGCATGATTTTTTGTATGGGGATAGTTTCGTAGCTGTAGAGTGACATAGGTTACTTTTTTCCGCGGAAAAACATCTCATTCCCGTGGGAAAATAGAATATGTTGCAAAAGTTTGTCCTTCTTTCACGTCACGTCGCGAAAATAGAATATTTCCCACGGGAACTCATGTAGTACTCATGTAGGTAGCGGGGACTGTTAACGAATGATGAGGGCAGAATTACCATTTTACCTAAATCTCTGGGGTTTACATTGGCGTCGCTAGAAACTGCATGTTGTAAATGTATATAATTCTCAACGCGCAGCTTTTTTTGATTTAAAGATATATAACGGAGACGTTCACTTTCTACCTTCACATACATGTCTACCAAAAATTGATGAAATAATTGTCTACACCGGGCTAAGAGGTTAAAATCATTTTCTCGCAACATCATATGATACGCATAAAAATCCATACATGATACTTTTTTGTTCGGAGTAGGCTCCTTTAGGACCGGGTTAATGAGTGGAATTTGAAAATGATAATCCTCTTGTCCTTTGCAATAAATCAATGGGTATTGCAGAGTGTCATAAAACTTGTGTGTATCGGCTACCCGTTGCAACGTATCATCACATGCTCGCAAGACAATGTCTCGTGAAGAAAATTGATCCCACTAATTACGGCTACTATTTCGTTTATCAAAGGTGCATTGTAGCGCCTTTCATGCTCTCTTCGAGGGGTCCGATCTGCGTGAATGACGACTCTATAATCCTCTTCAGGTAGGTTTTCTAAAGTAGTTTTAAATGTTTTGACTAAAATTTCATGCAAGAATCTTTGAATTTTGAATACTGTGTCTCTCTCAACTCCCTGGATAAATTGGCGGCGACGGTCTACCTCAATTTCTTCGTCACCCATAAAATATACTTGTAAAAATTTATGCTGTACGTTTTCAGCTGGAAAAAGTGAACCGATTCTATGATAAATTTGCCCTTGCACCGTAAATGTAGGCGAAAATCCCGGCATTATTATTTCCCGGTCCAAAGGACGTCATCTAAAAAGGAATAAATATTCCTTTTAAATATTTTTTAAAATCAAAACAACAAAACCAATTCAAGACACAACACGAATCCGAAAATGATAGCCAAAAAAAATCGAATCAACTTAAACCAAATCACAAAACAAATCGCAGAAAACCGAAATCGAAAGCAGTACTCAATATAAATATAAACAATGAAAAAATAAGTAAGTGTATAGGTACCGTATACACTATCTATATTATTAATATTCCTTTGAAATATTGTTAAACAACCTAAAAAAAACGAAAACCAATTCACGATTCTAAATAAACAAAATCCAAAATCAAAGCCAGAGTCTAAATATGTATAAAGGAATACCAACTGAATCAACAAAACCGATCCAAGAAAATACACAAATCCGAAAATGAAAGCCAATATAAATACATTCAACCTTAACCAAATCACAAAGCAAATAACAAACAACCGAAATCGAAAGCAGGTAGTCGAATAAGCTACGAAATAGAAACAATTTAAGCGTATAGGTACCGTATGCACTATAAGTTGACGCGCGGCTCAACCAAGGGAGTTAAGTACATGTCAGGTAACATTTCGTTAGCGCGTTTTAAAAACCTAGTAACGACATCTAGCAGAATCAATTTAAACTATGTATACGTTAGTTAATAAGAAATCTCAAAAAATATTTTTCTTCTAATTTTGCACAATTTTTCTTATTGTAATACCGACCACCATCAAATAACCATCAAATGCCTTTTGTACGCCGATGATCAAGTCATACTTGCGTCGTCGGCGGCCGAGTTGCAAATGATGGTTACATTAATGAACAGGTCATTAAAAGAAAGGGGAATGAAAGTGAACGCAAGTAAGACGAAAGTGATGGTTTTTGAAAGAGATGAAAGCAAAACGGTATGTGAAATAAGAATAGAAGGAGAGTTAATTGAGCAAGTGGATGAGTTCGTATATTTGGGATGTGTATTCAGCAGGGATGGGAGATATGATAAGGATATTGAACGACGAGTGAATGCAGGAAATAAAGTAAATGGGGCTCTACACTCTATTGTGAAAAGTCAGAATGTGTCAAAAAAGGCACGTATGGCAATTCACAGTGCTGTATTAGTCCCTAATTTAACCTATGGTAGTGAAAGTTGGGTGTGGCAGAAGAAGCACGAGAGTAGAATAAATGCAGTAGAAATGCGGTCGCTAAGGAGTATGTTGGGACTGAATCTGAGTGACAGGGTGAGAAACTGTGTGATAAAAGAAGAGTGTGGTTTGCAAGATGATGCGGTGACCAGGATTAAGAAAGGAATGCTTCGGTGGTTTGGTCATGTAGAAAGAATGAATGCGGAAAGACTGACAAAGCAAATATATGTTGCAGAAGTGAATGGAAGAGTCGGAAAGGGACGTCCTAGGCGGAAGTTTGTCGACCAAATTGGCGATATACTAAAAATGGGCCAAATTAAGAGTACCCTTAACCGACGAGCATGTATGCGTAGGTATATGGATGTGGAAGAGGCGAGAAAGTTATGTCAGGATCGTGCTAAATGGAAGTCTGTAGTCTCTGCCTACCCCTCTGGGTGACAGGCGTGAGTGTTTATGTATATGTTATATATGTAATACCGATTAATTCATAACCACATATAAGAACTGTATTCATTTCCGTTCAATAAATATTACTAAGACTTATTAATAAGGCTTACTACTGTTTCTACCACAGTTAAGTAATAGTTAAGGGTGAAAGCATGACAGGTGGTGATAGTATTTCTGATCCATACTTATAATCACGCCTGTAACCCTTGCGGGGTAGGCAGAGCATCAACGGATTACTTAATATCGTATGCGAGGTTATCGCCTATTCTGTGAATTACAATGCACCAAAACGATTTTCCCACGGGAACGATATGTTTTTCCGCTGAAAAAAGTAGCCTATGTCACTCTACAGCCACCGAACTATCCCTATACCAAAATTCATACCATGCCGACGCTCTGTTGCGACGTAAAAGAAGGACAAACTTTTGCAACATATTTTATTTTCCCACGGGAATGAGGCTGTAGAGTGACATAGGCTACTTTTTTTCAGCGGAAAAACATATCATTCCCGTGGGAAAATCGTTTTGGTGCATTGTAATTCACAGAATAAGCGATAACCTCGCAGATATTAAGTAATACTTTTATGCTCTGCCTACCCCGCAAGGGTTACAGGGGTGATTATAAGTATGGATCAGACATACTATCACCACCTGTCATGCTTTCACCCTTAACTATTACTTAACTGTGGTAGAAACAGTAGTAAGCCTTATTAATAAGTCTTAGTAATATTTATTGAACGGAAATGAATACAGTTCTTATATGTGGTTATGAATTAATCGGTATTACATATATAACATATACATAAACACTCACGCCTGTCACCCAGAGGGGTAGGCAGAGACTACAGACTTCCATTTAGCACGATCCTGACATAACTTTCTCGCCTCTTCCACATCCATATACCTACGCATACATGCTCGTCGGTTAAGGGTACTCTTAATTTGGCCCATTTTTAGTATATCGCCAATTTGGTCGACAAACTTCCGCCTAGGACGTCCCTTTCCGACTCTTCCATTCACTTCTGCAACATATATTTGCTTTGTCAGTCTTTCCGCATTCATTCTTTCTACATGACCAAACCACCGAAGCATTCCTTTCTTAATCCTGGTCACCGCATCATCTTGCAAACCACACTCTTCTTTTATCACACAGT